CATATCTCATATCTGCAAGACTATATTAGTGCCAATTTAAAGGCAGCCCATAACAATTCAAACAAGATCTTCAGTCATGTCCTTCAATATGTGTACATGGCCACTGAGCAAGACAGCTTTAAATTTAGACATTTCTCAGGGGAGTTTGGTTTAATGATCTAATTCTATATAAGGACTAATGTTTTTCCCTTGTATCTCAGACAGGAAGAGAGGCCGCTGCTGCTGGTGTACACACACACACACACACACACACACACGCCACAGTGACAACGCCTCGTGTCAGCAAAACAGAGCGAGGACTTGTCTGACTGGTGAGAACGCTGAGCTGAGCGCCTGTGAGCGGCTCTGGTGCTGTCCCCCCATCGAGAATAATCTCTAAACTCTCCTTAACCTGAAGACAGTGAGAGGAGGAAGAAGTACCACCCCAGCAGCCAAAAGGTGCTGGTGAGTCTGAAAACCTTCTCTACTCTAAAAACCCCATCAGCTGCAGAGACCCCCCCGCCATCTGTCCTGACGCACAAACCAGACGATGGAAAACACTTACGACTTGTCTCTGCGATGTGGGAAGCGTCGCTGTGGACTGCTCTGTCGTCGCCGTGGTGATAAAGATTTCCCCCGGCTCCGCTCCTTGATTGGTGACTGGGCACTGGATGATTTCAGGATCTAAAAGAAGAGGAAAAAAGCAAACACACAAATCAACAACATGTTTACACTATGCACCAGTGCCAATACCACCCTCTAGTACTCTACTCGTACAAGTTATCCACCGATACCAATTAATGGCAGCATCACATTAACCTCACACTGGCTGAGCCGGTCGTTAGGAGGCAGAGAAGAAATTTCAGCGGCCCAGAGATATTTTAAGATAAGTGACAACAACAAAAGCGACTGTGAGCTCTGATTCTCTGTTGTGTGTGAGCGCCCCTCCATCCACGTCTCACACAGACACGCAGGCATAAAGACACATTTTACACAGACGTCAACACTCGATATGTGCAACAAAACCAACAGCCATGGAGACTAATTAGTCACACACCTGTTGAAGAAACAGAACACAACAACAAACTTGCAGAAATGCAACTATCAGAAAGTAAATCTCATGAAATGAAACCCTCTAAAGTCACTACACCTTTATGGTGATTGCAGTGTTTCTACTATGAAAAAAAAGCTACAATCAGTAAGTACACAAGGCAAGTACACAAATGTGAGTACTCATATTTGCACTGAAAAAAGTGGTACTGGTGCATCCCTACTCTGCAGCTTTTCCAGCTCAGTGTTTTGGTTTTACTGCATGCTTGGGGCCCTGAGCACTGTCATCAGCCTCAGTTCACACAGCAGCAGCCCTGACAAACCACTGCTCAGCGCCAAGCAGCAGACAACATTACAGCCTAGCTGCTAAAACAGGTGGAACATCTACTGAAGAGTCATATTTTTCTAAAGAGTTGGTGGAGCACAAACCAGAGCTAAGAGGAGAGTGAATACTGGACTCATACCGAGCAGAAACACAGACAACTCCAAATGTTGCTGTTGTGTGTCTGATGAATGTGTAAGAATGTATTAGTCTAACCTTAGCACCTCTCCAAGCCAAATATTTACAGTGGTTGTGTACCAGTTTGTTTTGGTCCTGCCCCCTAGCAGACAAAAATAATTTGTCAATTAACTGATTGATTATATAGTCTACAAACTGTCAAATTAAATTGCCACAGTGACAATGTCAAACTGCCTGGTCCATATGTATAGAAAAGAAGCTGCAACTTCTCACATTTCTCAATCAACTAATAAATTCTAAAAGCAATAGAGCGACTGATGGTTTCAGCTCTACATGCATGATGTTAGTGTCAGTGTTATATCAGTAAAGCAACAAACCAGTCTGACACAATATTCATGACAACATTCACCCAGTGAGAATGGTTTGGCACAGGAGACATGCTGGTTTTCTATTTACTCCCTGCTTCACGCTCACAAAGAACTTCTTCGGGCATTTCGACGTACACAAACTAGAATGACGCCAACAAACACTGCTGCTATTCAGCTGCAGGGCAGAAAGTGCAGAGTCCGATCCAAGAGTGCGACAATGTGTTTTTCTCTTTATGTCCCTTAATCTTGAAACACTGCTGTGCCAGATGAATCATGCAGGAAAAGCAGTTTATAGCTATAAATGAGGCCGTTTGTATGCGTGTGTGTTGAACAGCAACGTGACACTATCATTGAGAACTCAGTGGGAGAAGAAAACTGCACGATGAACATGGAGGGCATGTTTTTCTGGGAGGAGCAGGAGCCAGGAAGTGGCTTCTATCTCAACAGCTGGTCCTGTTTGTCATGTGACTCTCAGATATATGGGTCAGTGTGTGTTTCCTACCTCACATGGCCCACAGCCTTCTTTAGCTAAGCTTCAACTAGTCTGTGAAGCTTAGGAGGACTAAGCAGATAGAAAACGTCACACCTCTCTATCCCTGCCTTGTTTTTTTTTTTATTGAATGGGAAAGTGTGTCCAGACTTTTGACTGATAGTGTATATACTGTATGTGAATGTCTTTGTGTACATGTCACATGTTTTATGACAAATGAAACAAACACTGCTGCTCTATGAGTCCTACACATTCTAAAGTCTCCACTTGTGCACTCCACAACCACTAACCCTAATTCTACCCTCAACCCTAAAAACTAATCCTATCCCTCAGAGGACAGACAAACATCCTCACAGTCCTCACTCAGACTGGGTCCTTATAAGGGCAGCACTACAAGAGCACGTCTGAGCAAGTCTGTTCACAATAAGTTCACATTCTCTGGAGATTATATCAAAGTCTCATAGACCGCTGTGCATGATGCATGACAGCTGCACACTCACTCACTTACATATCTTGCTGACACACAGTACAGGCCATGTATTGTACCACTATCCAACGCCAGCATCTCACACACAATACACAGGCATGCACATGGAATTGCTTGTGCTGCAGAAATATTCAAAAATGTGTAGAGAAAAAAAAAAAAACATATAAATGCACAAATAAAACATTTAAACTCTCTCAACCCACTTCTCTGTGTCCCTCTCTTTATCACACACACATTCATTTCCTGCACATCATGCCCTAAATAATTCCTGACAGTTTATTTTCCATGTTCAGCCCTAAGGAAACTCCATCCCTCTCAGAGTCATGGAAAAGTAGAGCAGAAGGTGTTGCCCTTGTTCAGACTCAGGAAGATTAAAAATCTCCTTTAGTGTTTTTTCTGAACTCTATTTGATTCAAACACAGAGAATAAAAATGAACATGAGTTAAATCCAGAGTAATTAGACTAAAGGTGATACAAAAATATGATGTAAAATAGTTAAAATATGAGCCAAGCAGCAGCACTGGTTCCTGTGTCAGATCAGATCTAAGTCTCAGAGGAAATAAAATGCAGCAGAAGAAACAAAGTCAGTTTGCTAAATTCTGTTTGAACTTGACTCACAGGCAGCACAAAGAATTTCACCTGGCCATAAACAGAAACTGTGTTTACTCTGTGTTTATGCAGAAACTCATGTGTTTTATCAGGGGAATTTAACTAGTATTTCATTGATAGTTCCCTTTACTGACGCCAATTAAACATTTTATCAGGTCAGTAGTGCTGTTACTTGTATCAGTGGCTTCAGTTGAGAAAATACAGATGTAGACACATAATACCTGAATTTCTCTTATGTGAAATTTGTCAAATTTTAAGGATTTGGAACAAAAATATGTATCATCAACACACTTACTGTAAAAAGTAAGATCACACCCTAGAGCATATAAATGGTTTCCATCCAAAACCACCTTGTGTGTGCCAACGAGACGTACCTTCATCCTCATGTCTCGGCCGTGTTTCTCCAGCTCCTTCCTCATTTCCTGAGCTCCCAATCGTGCAGCATTCAGCATCAAATGCTTCCATTCGATTGGCTGGAAGACATGGGGGTCATGAGGCACGTACAGGCCGATCTTCACCTGAGGGGAGCGGAGAATATGTTCCTTTACTTTTACCAATACTTTTTTTCCTACTCCATAACCCGCCTCCATCCTTCACCTCATCCATCTATCATCCCCCCCCCCTTACCTTTTTCAGCGTGTGCTGGTATCTCTTGTAAGAGCTCTCAAACTCAGCCACCAGTTCTCCCAGCGTGCGGTGTGTCAGCGGTTTGTCCATCAGGTCCTGACGGCGGCTCATGCCCAGAGAACCATATCGGCCATTGCAGTAGACGCCAAGCACAACGTGGTGGAAGCAGTGGCCTGAAAACTGAGTCTTGAAACTGATGGGGAAACGCTCGAGAGATGTCAGCCCATTGGTCATGTAGCTGGTCAACACACCCAGTTAAGGATCAGGAGAGTTCCCCTAAAATGCTGTTTTTTTTGTTGTTGTTTTTAAGATGAACTAATCGACCATATCCAAATCTGACAGCCCCTGCGAAGCTGAACACTGACTACAAATTAAAATAAATTTAAAAAACTACACTTGGGTACAAACCTGAGAGTGTCTGTTTGGATCTGTCACAGCAGAGCAGCATGAGACATGTGAAGGTAGATTCATTCAGACTCTCAGAAGGCCAGGACCAAGAAAATGCCACAGGGTAAACAATGGCTCTGACCGCCAGTTTGTGCATCCCCTCTCGTCTGGCTGAATTCTTCTGATTGACTGCTGTGCTTTGCTGTTATTTAACAACAACAAGACTATCTGGTAGCATCAGAAGTCTGAGGGGATGATGTGTGTGTGTTTGGAAACCTTCTCAGGCTCTAGATGGATTAAGGTGGGCCTCTTGATTGTCGATGTCCTTTCCCTTCTCCTCTCCATCTACCTGATTTCCTGTGGTTGACTGACAAGAAACAGCAGCACTGACATGACAACTCGGTCCAGTAAAATCTGAATAGAAACAGAAAGGGAGTCATCCTTCTCTGGGCTACAGAGGCATGTTCATACCAGCCTGTTCCCTGTATTTGTGCTCACTTAAAAAAAACTGGTCAACTTCATAAAATATTTTGTTATTTACAATTAATCCAAGTGATAACTGAATGAGCTCTATGTTTAGTCCACTCTCTTGCTGGAAAGTGCACAGCTCCAACACTGACACTTGTCAAACACACACAGATCTGGACGGTGTCTTTGTCAGCCAGCAGCCAACCATCTGCTCTGATACGCCTTCAGAGGCCTGTCATTGGCCAGAGAACCTGTCTGACACCTCAGCCGCCTGGATGCCACGGCACTGCTGTGTTGTCATTAAATATTCACAAAATTAGACCAACAGTTAAAAAATGTGCAGCATTTACCATCTGTACAAACATTACAGACAAAATTAATACTCGTGTAATTTGATGTGTCAACACTTACATTTTAGTTTGTTTTAAAAGGAAAATAAAAATCAGCTGTTGAGATCATCATGCACGTGGGCTATTTTCTGTCAGGAACACACCGACATGGTAGCGCTACAGCAACCAACACTTAATTTATAGCATGGGTGATTATCTTAGAGGGTTACCGTCTGTAAAAAAAATAGCTGTTTCATGGTATTTCTACAAACTAACTTTCACTAGAATTTAGCATCGTGAGTTTTAATAGTTTGTTTCCTTCCCACTCAAGCACAAATGATCACCTGCATGTTATTTAACTCCACTGCTGACAGTGTAGAACAACAGACACACCCAGGGTTATATTAACTGCTCTGCTGATATGTCTGACTGTAAATAATGATGAACATGTCTGGATGTGCACTGTTCATGTCTGAGAGGAACTTTATGCTGACCTCCACCTTCAGCTAACAATGTGTCACATGTTGCAGCGCTAGTTTTAGCAGGCACACAACACACCCTGTTGTTCCTTTCTAATGAATGACTTTAAAAACACTTCCTGTGACGGAGGACATGTGACACTGCTAACAGTAGCTCTCTCCGACGCTCCCTCTCAGTTGCCACAGAAACCACTACAACCTCTCATCTTCATCATAAGCAAACTACAAGTTCTTAAGTCTAATGTTCAAGTGTCCAAAACTTGTGGCTGTGTAGTCTGTTTTGCAGGCTCCAAACATTCTGCAAATGAAATGTTTCATGCAGTCTTTATATCAGTTTATATATTGCCTAGTCAAGGTCTTGATATAAATATCTCACCACTATGACTGTTATCCAGCCTGAGGCCACTTTGTACTCCAGGTTTATTCTTCAAAACACCAGTCAGTGATGGTTAAAATGATGTGAGACAGAGCCAAACACACACACAGTTGACACACAAGCCCACAAACAAAGCTGGTGTCAGACAAGATAAACCCTGAATGTCCTGGAGAGAAAGCAGATCACTGTTTACAGGGAAGGAAAGGAATCAGCAGCAGAGGGCAAACAGACACACCACAAGCTACAACAACAGTTGCTATTTATCCCTCATGTCTTCCCCTCACACTGTCTCACTCTGTTGGTAACTGTTGGAGGAGGAGCCACAACTGTGTGGGTGATTGTGTGTGTTGGGGGGGGGTACGCATACAAGATTTTATACTATATTGGCAGTATTTATTTGATCCCCTGAGTCTGGACATAGGGAATGAGGGCTGACTCTAGAGCCCAGAGCAGAATACACACACATCCAGTTAACTGGTTGGGTTGGTAGCACATTAGCAAAACAATAGCTGGTGTGACATCAGGGTGTGTTTCCCTGCTGTTGACATTTAAAAGGTTGGCCGTTCACCTCTGAAAACAGGTGAGGCCTCATAGCTCAGAGGTTAGAGCACTGGTCTTGTAAACCAGGGGTCGCGAGTTCAATTCTCGCTGGGGCCTGATTCGTTCTTTTTTTTCCTCCCCATCTAGGTGACCTAGGTGGGGCATGGCAAAAGGTGACAAGAAACAAACATGCGCTGCTATGAACTAGTAAGTGCACTTAATATTTCTTCCTATCTTACTTAAAGGCTGAAGTGGAATTTCTGAAATCAAAAAAATGTGTCACCTACATGAATTTCCTTTTTAGACATTTACCTGAAGCTCTGCTGGAAGGCTACAGGAGCAAATCATGAATACTGTCATTATTTACCACAATATTTAATTGATATATCTTTTATTTTATACAGTACCATATGAAACATGCCTATCAGTATAAAGACTGGATAAATGGGACGTAATACATTTAGTGAATAATCAAATTGGTTTCTAATTTTAAACTGAGACATCTTAACACAATTTCAGGTTTTCTCAAAGTTAAGCGATGAAGCAGCTGCAAAAACGACACTGCTGCTTTAAAATTTAACCCTGTAAAGCCCAACACATCAAAAACTAACCAGAACAGTCAAATTTTTTGGACATGAGATGTTTATTAAACCTTTTAACAAAATCCAAAAGAAAATCCAGGATTCAAGATTTTCATTTGCCATTTATGCATAGACAGACAGTCCAGGCATATAGGAATAAATGTGCCATATTATTTAGAATATTTTTATTTTGTTTGTATCACATTTGATACATGGGGCATTTTTGGCGATTTTTATCTGCTCAGAAACTGGCGTATCAAATATGATACAAATGGCTTTATAGGGTTAAGCACTGCTGGATGATACTAAGCTCATCAGTATGTGTATGGTGGGGGGTTAAACTTTGAAGTGGGCTTGTTGCCAAGCAACACAGTGAGCTGCAAGGGTGGCGATGGTGGTGGGGCATCAGCATGTCTCATTGATTTCACACACAGATAACAACATAACCTTCTGGCCCAGTGCACGGTGTGTGTGTGTGTGTGTGTGGGTGGGTGGGGGTATGTAGGAAAGGATACATCCCCAAGATGACGGCTTCAAGGCATTTGATTGGCAAAGACTCCCTGATCATCTCTCTTGCTGTCTCCATTAACCTGGAGGAGGAGGAAGATGAAGAGGAAGGGGAAAGGGAAGGGGATGAGCAGGAGGCAAGGAAAAGGAAGGAGAAGTGAAGGAGTAGGAGCAGCACAAAGCAACAGGAGAAGAGGAGCAGCAGGAGGGTGGAGAGGCAAAAGGGGTGAGAAGGAGGACAGGAAGAGAAGCAGTGACCATATGAGGAAATATGAGCAGGCGGAAGGTGACAGGACAAGCAAGGAGCAAAGAGAGACAAAGAGAACTTATTTTCAAAGCAGTCACTTAAATTTGAAGACTGTTGGTACATCAGGATTTTAAACAAGCTCAAGCACAAGATGTGGGTGTGGTCAGTGATGAGCGACTATGTCAGCTACAATTTACCACTACCATCAACATGTTCTACAAGCAACTTGGTATAAGACCTAAACATTGTACACAGAGACGACCATGAGTTGGATGGTACTACGTTACATCCCAAACTAATGTGTCTATAAACCCGTCATATTACTGCCAACAATGTAAGTGAGGCCTCTCTTCTCAAAGGTTAGAGTTGGCAGTCTCTCTGCTCACGGCTCCAGGATCCTTCCCTTTAATTAAATCACATGTTCTCAGTTACAGCATCTACAGTATTGTTTGCATGAACTACTCATCAAGATAAAAAATAGCCTCTTCTACTGGGGTTTTTGTTTTGATTGGATCCAGAGCTCCTGAATAAGGTGACTGGAAAATGTCAGTAGCATCAGTAACATCCACATTAGTACCCGACTACTCAGAGTAACCAGATTAAGCTACTAATTTTACTACTTGTCTCACAGCCACTTCACCTGCCAGTCTTTTATTAACAGGCTTGTCGTTATTTACTTGCAGACAGTGAAAAAATGTTTTACTCACTACTGACAGCCATGCCAGCATCAGTGTAAAGAAGCATCTCTTTGTATCAGCGATTAACTCAAAACATACAAAACGCTAACTGAACTGAATGCAGTTAAGACAATCAGACATGACAATTCTGATAACTGGGCTGTTGTGTTAATAATACTATAATCAAATTATACAGCAATTGACCCTTTTCCAGTTCACTTACCCACACAGTGGACGACTCTTCTTGATTTCAAAGAACTGGGTTCCTGTGTGGTTGTATCTGACAAAAATGTTGAGGGCAACAGAATGTTTGGTTTGAAGGTTTTCATTGCTGTATCTGTCCCTCCACTTTTAACACCGTGCTCCTGAAGTTGGTGCCATGTTGGTGCCCCGATAACCCTGCAAACATCAAATATGATGAGGCGCTAGGAGAACTAACGTCACCTGACAAGCAGGTGTGTTGTTTCTGTGTGAAAGGATACTGCAGAGCCTTCATGTAGTTCTGGATGGCCACGAGCCAGTCTGGGACCGACATGGACGGTCTGAAGGTCGGGAGTGAGGGAACAGGATGCTGGAAAGACGAGAGTTGTACACATTATTATGAGCAAATCAGTGTGTGATAACATTCAGATGTTAATATCTTTAAATTTGAACATTTGCAGGTCACTTATTGTTAGCAAACAAAGTGTCAAAGACTGGCAAAGCCAAAATGTTGGGGTTGTGTGGTGTGCACCACCTTAGACCACTGTGTGGTCTACCAACACAGAGTGAGACAGGCTCAAACACAACAAACACTTCCTCTGACACACAGGCAGCTTGTGTGTCGTGCATGTCTGTATGCAGGGAGGCTGAACCATAGCCCTATCATTTCCTGTGTTTGTGCTTCACTATTTATTTACAGCACAAATAGAAAGCTGAGGAAGAAAACAGCGGAACAACATGGAGGGTGAGCCCTGATACGTGTCACAGTGTTCTGTCACTAATCTTACTTCCCCAAGGAAAGAGAAAAAGTCAGAATCCAAGTTGCAAAGTGAGGGAGAACACCACATCATACACACAATATTCTTCAATTAAGGATCCTTGTCACTGTCACTCAACATACAAACTTTATAAAACACAACATGTATGAATCAGTCAGTAAATCACTGAAACAAACCCAACTGGCCCCCTTTCTATTTATCAGGCCTGTCAATAGTCACACGGCCCATAAACCAGCCAAGACCAGTAAATAGCAGGTTTTACTTCCAAATAATCTCGCATGTAGTGAAATCCTCACTACGGCGTAATACATTGGGCTGCATGTACTTTGATGGCACTTATATAATAATAATCACTTTTATTGGCCAAGTATGTTACACACACACACACACACACAAAAGCTGCTTTCTGCTAGGTCAGGCAGTGAGATGAGAGGTGAACCCTCCCTGCTACAGAGGCCCGCCGCCACCACATCCAGTACAGAACCTCCATCCAAAATGACTCAGTTTTAAATGCAGCACAAAGTTACATGTTCAGTCACCACAAACAGCCATCTGCCCTTTCAGTGTGTCCTTCAGCGAGGCACTGGACATTCTGCATGCTCACTCAGATGTGTTTCAAATTCAGACTCTGCAGAGAGTTTACAACACAACATCTTTTCCCACAGAACATGGCCCATTACACTTTATGAACCATTCAATGCAGACTGCAGCATTTTGTCTTTTGGCTGCAGCTCTGGTAGAAAGTGACATTTGATGATGACATTTCAAGTGGTTTTGTCACTTACATATCCAAACTGTACATGAACTTGGGAACCCTTCCCAAGTCATCCTGGCATACAGATTGTCTAAAAATTAAACATGTGAATAAGAACACAGAGTCAGTAACAAGCGCTTCCTCTCCACTAGAGTCCAGCTGGGAGAGCATCACTTCAGAATCCCAGTTTAGACTGGTAATTAATCTGCCTCTACCTCCCTTCCTGTCCACCCCCTTATCTCCTCTCCATTTTAAAACAAGAACTAGGCATTTAATTAGAACTTCACTGTACTCAGAGGTGCAGAAATACAGCTCAATGCTTCTTGAATTGCGGTGGCTGTGGCTCAGGAGGTAGAGCGGTTGTCCCTCAACTGGAATGGCAACAGTTCGATTCCCGTTCTCACCAGTCCACATGTTGAAGTATCCTTGGGCAAGACATTGACCCCCAAGGTCACCTCGCAGGGACGGGGACAGTGCCACCATCGGTGTGCATGTGTGTGTGTGTGTGAGAGATGGCACCGCAGACGGCTGCCTCTGTTCTGTACTACAGACCAATTCCCTGTGTGTGTAACATACTTGGTCAATAAAAGTGATTATCATTATGCAAGTACCATCAAAGTGCAAAAAGCCCCAGGTGTGAGCACCACTGAGGTGAAGAAATGCTTCATATAGCAGTGCCCTCGATGACCTTTAAAGTACTTCTGCTATGTGCACATTAAAAATGGAAACAACCAAGATGGAGGGGGATAGAGATGGATCATATGTCCTGCTGTGAAGATATCTTTAGAGTGGGACATCCTGAGGAATGTCGCTCTCTCTGTGTCTTTCTGAGTGTGTGGAGAGAGAAAAAGCTAGGAAACAAACAACTAAGCAACATTTCAGTGCAAATCTCCCAGTTTCTTGCAGTCATCCCTTTTTCTATAAGGAGCGGTGCCAGCTTTTTCCTGAGGATTTACAGTACTGCTTAGTTCTGGCTTGTATCTATGACTGCTGTAGTCCGTAATTCTCTGCCTCAGATCACATCTGTCTAAACTAATCCATGATGGCAGGCGTCTGATCCAAAACATGCTATTTGTGTTGCAAATTATCTAAAAAAAAAAAAAAACAAAACACATGAAGGTGCACAGACAAAGACAAATACAACATGCCAGTTTCAGTGGCCCAGGGTTCATCTGGACCCTGACATGAGTAGTTATCATACTGATAACCCAGAAAAATAACTTTGTCACAGCAGAAACTTTATCATGTAGCAGTTTTCTTGTTACTGACAAACTAACAGGTCAAGTTTCAAAGCCATCTGTTAATGCCATCCAACATAAAATCCTATTGTCAGAGCCTGAATAGAGACATTTTATCCATCACAATGGGATGACAATGGGTTATGGCAATGAAAAACAACCACCTCCTCCTTCCTTGACAACATCTACCGCAAGTCCCTGCTCCTGTCCAGTGGCCACGCGTCACTTAGCACGTAGCAGAGGACACACAGCACATTCATAGTAAACCAGTTTCAACCCGTCATGTTCTGCTTATGAGCCATGCTAATATGCTTTACTACAAATGTATACATTCAACAAATGAAAACTGAAAAGTATCAGAAAGGAATACAAAATGAATATCAGACAAAACTTACAGCAATGTTTAAAAGGACACAGATTTCTATTACAGAGATAATGAATCCGTATCTTGGATTAAAAGATTTGTTATTCTACTTTTGCTCAAACAGCTTTGACAGAGATCTTTGCTCACATGACTTCTAGCCAGTTTTGTTTCCCATTTGTTTCCCAGTTGGTATCCAGGGATTATCTGCTACCCAGATTGTATTAGAGGGATAATTTGGTCCATGAGCCAACACATCTACTTTGTTACTGAGGGAACAGATAGTGGAAACATTTACTCTGGTCACCGACAATAACACAAACCCACATGACGACCTGAAGCTACCACAGGTTACATTTTGGAAGTAATACTCAAATGTATTTGTGTCATTTCACACCATTGGCCTCGTTTGTTTGTGGCAACTCTATAAATGGCAGTGATTTTTTGCATATTATTGGTTATCATTAGATGTAAACAGCAGGTGTAATAAATTTCATAGTCATGAAAACCTACAGCAGCTGGCCCATTTCATACATCTGTCAGTGGAACAGACTGGCATGTACTAAATTCTATTAAATAGAAGTTTGACTGAACTTTGTTGACTACACTGTTTGTCCCGGTAACAGTTCCTCCTTCCATCCCAGTTAACCCATCTGGGTTAGTGTATCCGTGACGGTATCTGTGGTAACCACCTGTTTTCACCCCCCCACCCCACACACACACACACACACACACAAAGTAACAGAGTCAGGTTGCATATCAACGCCTCAACATGTTAAGTCCCAGCATACAGCACTCATGCTGTCACAGCAGTGTCCTAGCAAAGCAATTCCAATAACACAAACTTATTTTTATACAATTTGTTTGTATACAGAACAACAATCGAGCTTAGTTACATATTAGCTACCAAGACAAACTGGAAAATAAATCCACCCAAAACCATTAAAATTATTTTTAATTCTTTCTTTAATTCTAATTAATTTTAAATTCTAACACAGGCCTTCAACTGACATTTACATCAGCATCGTGATCATGATGACCAAAGCCCAAACAAGTCAGAGGGCTCATATGTATGTGCATGTTCGGTGCGTGCAGTTTTTCAATGTTAGCGTGTTTGTTTGTTTGTTTGTGTGCACAAACAAACGCCTCCTATCATCCTCCTGTCCACAACCGCAGTGTGGGATTGTGGCGCTGCAAGCCAACTGGGTCACCAGTGACCACATGGCCAATTAGTAGAACAACAACCAGATTCCTTCATCCTCAGCCTGAACCGCAACAAGCATTCATCCAAATCACTAATGGGAAATTTACAACAGAAATCTGGGCTGAGGGGCCTCAGTAACAGCAAATGTGTATCATGTGTTTACAGTTTCTTCCAACATGAATAACCAGCAATGGCTTATGTCTTTTGTGCAGCCAATAAAACTAGACAATGAGCAATGTAAAGATCCTATTATTATTACTACTACTACTACTACTACTACTATTTCTACTCAGTTTCAACAAATGATTCTTAATGATTCTCTCGTGAGTTCAGTATGCATTCTCATAGGGAATACAACTTATTTTTTATTGAATAATCTGTTTAGAACTTTTTTCATTAATAGTTTAGCCTGAAGAAATATCAGAAAGTAGCAAATAATTTCCCAGAGCCCAAGGTGATGTCTCCATAGGTCTTGTTTTGTCCAAAGTAAAGTAAAAAAGTAAAAAAAAGCAAAGTAAAAAAAATAATAATTCACACTGGTATAAAAGCCAGAGAACACTTATACAATTAGCTAAAGTCTTAACAGTGAGGTCAATCAATGGCCCTAATCTGTGAATCCATTTATTATTTCAGTACTATTTCTGAAGGTTTGCTGAGCAAAGGTTTTGCAAACCTGGAATATTAAAATAAATCCTCTTTTGATTGAATGTGGTGGCGGACGGATGTTTTCTGGTTTGTGTCAGATGAACTCAAGTTACTGTAAATAACATAATTCTCTACAAGGCAGTCAGAATGTAGAACAGCACACCACTGGAGCTGTTTGGGTTGTCATGTCTCACTGAGGAACACTTCAGCAGGGTGGGGGGTAGATGCAATTGCCATTAAAATTTTATCTTCTGATTTCTGTGAGCTTATACAGCAATAGTGATTTTATCTCGCACGTTTTAGCTCCTGATTGATTTAATCTAAGCATACATACAGTACTTTTCTAAACTGCAGCCAGGTTATGATGGTTCAAATGTGTGTGAGTCAGGAGTCACAGTGAGTCACACACAATGTGACAGATCCAAAAAGCAGAATTAACATCACTTGACAGGTATGGCAGCCCAATTTAGCATACTGGTCGTCATGGTAACATGTTTTATTGTGTGTGAATATGAGTGTACACCTGTGAGTATACAGTATTTGTGAAAACTAGTGTAAAAACAAGTTGACATTAACACCTCCACAGACAGTCTGGCTAGGAGGCACGTCACCTGGTGCCAGAACTCGTACCACAAATGTAATTTCCTCCACCATGATAACCGTGATCATCATAACAGGGGATGAAAATAATCATTAGCTGGTACAATTAACTAGGTGCTGCAAATACAAAGTAAGTTTGAGAAGGACACAACTTGAAACTTTTCACAGCAGGGTAAAGATGAGACCTGCCAAAACTGGTATGTATATACAATCATAACCTTCACTCATATCCCTGCTAGCCTCTTTCCATATGCTTATACTGACTGTATGACATTTTCCTGGGTTTGAATGCTCGGGTTTGGGCTTAAAACAGAAATGGGCTAGCACAATATGAAGTTTTTCAGAAAGAGACTGGCAGGAAAATGAGGCATGATTTCACAATGCTATGAATGCCATTAGTCTTTCATTTGTATTTCCTAGTTACAAAACAGGTCGGACAAAGCAGCATCAAGACAACAATCACAAAATATAAATGTACTGGTTAAAAATAGTGCAACATATTTTATGACAGGGGCAAGTGTTTGGAAATCATGACAATAACACAGGCACATACTGACAAAGATAAAGAGAAGTAAAAAGGTGATGCAGCCCAACAGAAGATCAACAGAAATGTCAGATACAGAATGCTTATAGGGGATTCACAGAGACTGCTCAGTTTTAGTTTTGTACCAGTGCAGGTAGCGGGGCTTTAGTTGCTTCAAGGTTAAAATATTTTCTCATTAAGTGTTATTTTGTCAACAACTTCTAACACTGAGCTTACCCTGGGAAGGTATGCAGCGTTTCGTATCCTGTCGACCATCTCCTGGCCCTCAGGGTGCACAGCAGCCACATGGGACCACATTCTTTCCCAGGTGACACCCTCAATAGGAAAACCAGTCCGGTTGACGTAGAAAAGAACCCCTCCATCCTTCTCCTCTTTCTCCCCAGGGGAGTGGGGACTGTTGTTTGGGGGCGAAGCAGAAGACTCCTCCCGGGTGCTGCAGCGGAGGAGGCAGTGCGAGCTGGTGCTCTTGGACCGACCGTGCCTGCTCAGCTTGGCTGGGGAGGTGCCGGCTTGGCTTGGGGAGTTAGGACCGGTCATTGATCACAGGAGGAAGAGGAACAGTAAGGGCAGGGACTCCTCCTCCAGCTACGACAGCGTCCTTGTTTTCAGTGTTGGACAGTACATGTTGATCTACATGGGCAAACCTGGCACAAACAAAAAAAAAATTATTTCAACCTTACCAGAACCCATTTCACATTTTCAAAATCAGACAACATTAAAAATGTCTAATCGCTTTTCAAAATAAGTCTACAGTACAGCCAGGGGAATTTCTTTCCTGCAAGGATCACTTCTGAACAATGGATCCATGAAGCTGTAATGTTTGCAAAAGGAGCTTCCTGTGTGTCTGTGTGTGCACCCAAAGAAGATCTGCAGCTTTCCTTCTTTGCAAGAGAAATAACAGAGCCACAGTAATGCATGCATGCAAAAAAAAAAATCTATATTAAGATCACACAAGTAGCTTAGGGTAACAAAGCTGTAAAATACACGACGAATTTCAAAGAAGTTGTTATAAAATCAAGACAACGCGAACAGAGTTTAAGTCAAACGCAGTGATCCCAAGAGACTACACAAAATAATAAATTCTCTAATAAATTAACTCTATCACAATGACAACATAAACAAGCTATTATACTCTGAGAGAAAAATGTCTTCAAACGCTACTGTTAGCTAGCCAAGTTGCATAGCACAATTCCACAATCGATACGGAGTTTTTGTTAACTGTTACTAACCAACCGTACCGTACTTTTCGCTGGGGCTCCGAGATGAGACAAACGGCGGAACCTTCGGTTTAAAAGGCATTTGCCTCGAAAACCCGACAGTGAGAAGAGGCAAGTCCCATTCATAGCAAGGAGAAGTTACTGCACCACAGGCTGCAAAACCTTGTTTTGGTCTGAGGCTTTGTAACTTCATATCATCTTGCATCGGTCAAGATAGCAGGAGCTAACGACGGTTGGACTGGAAATATAACTTCAAAATAATAAATACCCGTCTTGCCTACATAAAGAATAAGCACTCGGAACCGTTGAGGTCTATTCATAAGCCAACCACTTCTTCGTCTGTGATAATTTTAAATGGACCGGCGAAAACATTGTCTCAGAAAATCAAACTAAACCAAATCAGTTCTCGTCTAAACCTTTGTATTGTTGAAAATCTTAACCGGAAGTCCGGATGTGATAGCTAGCGGATATAGCTACCTTTGCTGCCTTCGGTCTCGCAGTGCGGCGAGGGCCGGAACCTCCCTCTACCTCAATCCGGGAAAATGACCTCCTCTGTGCATTCCTCCCTGTCAGTAGCCTGTACGGTGCCTCGGTGTCAACTACCTCTTCAAAAAATCTGACCCCATGCTGATAAAACGGGTCTCTTCCACCTCTCACATGATTTAATTGTTTAGGATAAAACGGTCCCAGTCGCTACCTACTATTCTGCATCTCTCAGTTGCTCGTATCCCCGCTAGCCACTAGTATTCGGCGGTTTGCCATTGGTCGAGCCAACAAAGAGGGGCGTGCCGGAGAATATCGCTGCCATATTTGGAATTGATAGCGCTCTCTGATTGGTGAATTTTGATGGACGAAGGCGTCAACAAGTGATTGCAACAAATGGGATTTTTTTTGCAACAGTTGATTTTGCAGATTTCGTGTAGGTGCTTGATTAGGTTTCAGTTAGAATAAAAAGATTTTAACTGAATAGAGTATAATTCAATCAATAGTTCTAACTACAAAACTTGTCTGTGCAGATTCTCAGTCATCCAGGTCATAATAAGCTGAAAAAACAACTGGACTAGATTTCTAGGTCGAAGACGTTTCACCTCTCATCTACAACTCATCAACTACAAAACTATATCCACACACCTAACAAAATACAGAAAAAATATTGTTATGGAAACCATGTCACATGATAGACATGTGGTATTGATTATATGCTGATTGCATTATTATGTCTGAGCTTGATGTTGTTAAACTTTCAGAGAGAACATGAGTGAAAGACTGAAACTGACTGTGTTTGAAGAGATAAGAGATATTTCTTGTCTTCTCTCTAATCTAGCTGTAACAATACACAATCAATAGACTGGAGGTGTGGAACAATTGCCACCATTGTGATATAAAGATGCTTACATGATAACTTCACTTCTAAGCCACATCCATCAGGCGTGTCTCCAACTATATGATATACTGCATGAAGTGAATTTCTTTAGACAACTCTGTACTTTTTTGCTTGACTTGCTGCAAGTAAACCATTTGATAGACAAGAAATTTTCTTAACATAGTACTTTTAACAAAAGGTCCAATTGTAGTACTATTACTGGTACATATAAAACAATTGCATGTGGAACATGTCTGAAAAAGTTGTCAGCAAAGTAGAATAAGTTTGAATCCTTGACATATCTGCAAGTTAATTAAGCAAAATGTAAATTTATACGGTAATCAGCTCTATGAATGCTGGACTGTTACTTTTACATTGTGGTAGTAATTTAAACTTTTGATCCCCTTTGGGCTTCTGGGCTAAAAGCTTCTTACATCAGTACAGGAAGAAAAGGTGAACATTTGTGTTAAAAATAAAACCAAGACTACAACTTTATACATTCTCTTATTATATTCTCATATATTTTTATTATATTGCTGCATTGCTGCTTAAAGTGTCTTAGATTTTGTCTTATTTATTTATCTACTATGTATTTCATTTGTATTTTGTGGCATTCATGTGGATGAGTAAGTAAGTAAGAATTTCATTGTACAGGGAAACACGTTTCCTAACTGTGCATATGACAAATAAACACTTTGACCTTTATAATGGTAGCAGCTGTACCAAATCACAGTATAATAATGCTGCCCACTTAATAAATGTAATAGAGTTAGAGATTGAGGATAAACTGTAAAATAGTCATGCAGTTACCTACAGCATCTTGAAAGTTATATTATGCTTATTTACACTAACTGTGTTTTGTGGCATTCATGTGGAGGGCAAAGTAAGAACTTCATTGTACAGGGAAACACGTTTCCTAACTGTCCATATGACAAATAAACACTTTGACTTTGAAAATAGCAACATTATTAGGTAAACCTTTCTAAGACTGAGCAGCCTGAATTGTTTGTGGTATGGACTGGGGGGTGGCTGTGGCTCAGGAGGTAGAGCGGGTTGTTTCCTAACCATTTCAATTCCCGGCATGTCCAGTCAACATGTCAAAGTGTCCTTGAGAAAGCCACTGAACCCCCAGTTGCTCCTGGTGATAACACCAGGTGTGTGAGTGTGAATGGCCAAGTAGTAATCACCTTTATTTGGCCAAGTATGTTACACACAAGGAATTTGTTTCTGGTACAGAACTGAGGCAGCCATCTGCGGCGTCAACTCAACCAATGGCTCTAACCATCAGGGGCAACTTGGGAATTCAGTGTCTTGCCCAAGGACACTTCGACACGTGGACTGCAGGCATCGAGATTCGAACCTCCGACCCTCCGGTTGGGAGACGACTACTCTACCCAGTGTGAAAGCGCTTTGAGTGTGCTGTAAAGTGTAGAAAAGCACTATACAAGTATATGACCATTACCATTAAAAAAAGGTGGAAGTATCCCTAAGATATTCTGCTCAAATCTCCTGTTCTATCACAGCCCAATGGTAATCTTTTGGATTAAGATCTGGTGACTTGCAGTTAAGTCAAGAGTCAAGTCAAGAAACTTTATTGTCATTATGTATAGCACAATGAAATTTTTTCCAGCAGCTCCCAGGTTAAAAGACACAATATTTACATAAATAACAAAAATTGTACAAGTCAATATAAAAATATGAACAGATAAAAATGAAAATATATGGGACCTAATCAGGTCAACAGCATATTAGCAGCAGAAGAATACAGTCACAATTGTGACATATGTCCTTGAACCTGCTGAAGGTGGGTAGACTTTGAGTATAAAGGGAGACATGTTTAAATAATGCTCAGTTAGTTTTTCTTGATTGCTTTGACAGACTGCTGTTTCCTGCGGTAAACCGTACTCATTTCCTGTTTTCTGTATTTGCACTGCGTTGTGCTTGCTTCCAGATTGTTTAGGAATCAAACTCACTATTTTCTAGGTTCATCTGAATTTTTGAGTGACAACATACGCTTGCACCACTTAAAGCACTTGTTTTTCAGAAGTTCTTGCTAACTACCAAATTTAAATTGCTACTTTAGGTCGGCTAGTTTAGAAGCTAGCTAAGCTAGTAGCTTAATCGAGAGCAATGGCTTCCCCCTCTTCCTCTCCTCCTTTCTCTTGCTC